GACTCCTATCGGGTTTCTGCCTCTGTTGGGCACCCAGGCAAGTCACCGGTTCGTCGGCCATGCGGCGGAAACTTTGTCGCCGAATATCATGATCAGAGAACCCATCAGGCTGCCTGACCATCGGAGCAATACAACTCCTTCGAGAGGGAGGTAGCCCCGATCACCCTTACATTGGGGATCATTCTGGGTGTTAATGCTACCAGCCCTTCCCTTTCCACATCTTCCATGGATGGGAGAACAAAGCGCCATCTGATACGACGGTCAAATCTCAAACGTTTACTTTCAGGGATTGGAGGAGAGCTATAAACATCATCCTCTCCCTCTATCTTTCTTTTTTTTCACCTCTTTGATTCCGACTGCGAGACTGTTGGCGAAGTTGTTGATCGGAAGCTGGGTGTTGCTGATCCGATTCCCCAGAGGGTTGTTGTTCATGTGCATTGACATGAGAACGCCTCCCTTTACCTGCTTGTTCGCATTCCATCCGTTCCTGATTCTTCACACAATGGGATAGGATCATTAGCACCATTGAAAGGAGGAGATGGCCAATCCGTCGCCCTAGACGAAGGAGAGAGGGGAGAGCATCCCCCATTTTTTCTGGGTCTTTAGGTATCTCAGCTGGCGGATTGGGAATAAAATTTGGTGGCCGAAGGAAGCTCAATTGTGGATCATGTGCATCCTTCGAGTCCCCATAATAACCTAAGTACTCAAAAAATGCAACATGACAGGATATTCGGATGCGCTGATTAGAAACATCATAACACACATACCCTTTGTGTTTTTCACTATATCCCACAAACATGCATTTCATCGCTTTGGGTTCCAACTTCGAGCGTTCTCGCCGAGGCAGAAGAACATAACAGACACATCCAAAAACTCGCAACCAATCATAATTCGGCAGCTTGCCATAGAGTGCCTCATATGGGCTACGCTGCGACAGGACAAGGGTGAGTTGCCGGTTAATCAAGTAGACTATTGTATGAACTGCTTATACCCAAATTCGAGCTGGCACCGAGGACTGGAAGAGAAGTGCCCGAGTAAGTTCCAAGACGGGACGATGTTTGCGCTCAACCTTCACCTCCATAAGAAAATTCACCTCCAGGATCCGAACGCAGAACCTTCACCTGTTTGCCGAACTCCGTATGAAACATCTGCAAAAATTCCTTAGCTGCCTGTAGTAAATCTGACTTCTGCCGAAGGAAGTACACCAAGGTAACCGGGTAGCCTGATCAATAAAGAGCGCAAAATAGTGAAACCCAACACGCGATGTCACAGAAGCAGGACCCCATAAATCAGTATGAACTAGATCAAACGGTTCCGAATAAACTGTAGTACTTGAGTGAAAAGATTGTTGAGATAATTTGGCCTAAATACAGTGAATACAATCATGAGAATCAGAGGCAGAAATATCCGACAACAACTTATTCTTAGACATCTCTTTCAAACGTGCAGAATGAGGATGGCCTAGCCGACGGTGCCACAAGTCCCAGTTTGACAACTTAACTGAATTAACTGAATAACCAAACAAATCTAAATTTCTAGAATTTCCACAGGATCCTTGAACAGCTTCTCCAGCGAATGCTTGAGCAGCCCCTACATCACCACCTTGAGCATCACGTGAGTAGCTATCCAAGGTATAAACACGCCGAATCTTAGTCCTGTGCCCGATCTCCATCCTCGTTCTCTTGTCTTGCACAGTACAACCAGTCTCATCAAAGACAATCCGACAACCGTCCTCAGTTGGCTGACCCACAGATACTAGATTAGAAACAAGCTTGGGAATATATAAAATATCTGATAAACACAACTCATTTTGCTGCACCCTCATCCCTTGTGCATATAGACAAGTACCATCGGCCACCTGTAACGTAACTGAAGAATTCGGCCGAAGTGTTCTAAAAGAGGAGCTTGTGCCTGTCATATGATTAAAAGCCGCGAAATCAAGATGCCAAATGAGGACGAACTAGGAAGCCTACCAGCCGAAAAGACAGAGCCAAGAGCCAAAGGAAGAACATCCTTGATTTCTGCCTGCACCATTTGGCGAATAGCCTCCTGTGAGATACCCGCCACCTGTGGAAGAGCAGCTTCGGTAGGCACCAAAGTAGTAGCAAAGGCCGAACCTGAAGGAGCAGTCGGACGAGATCCACGAGGCGCACCCGAACCAGTCCCAGATGTGCGAGCACCACGACCTCTCTAATCTAGAATCGGACATGCACCAATTTCGTGCCCGGACGCCTTACAATAATTGCATATATCTCTTTAGGTAATGAAGCTACACATGCCCAAGCTCCTGACAATAATAGCATATGACTTCCCCGCTAGCAGAACAAAGAAAACGAGGCCGCTGAGCATTAACCGCAAAGGCCGCCGAACTGGCAGGAGGTGTAGCCTTCCACCCCGACTCCCCAGCCACTGCAAACGCGGACGATGATTCAGCTTGATGAACATCAGGCTTAGCTTGACTGCGGAGGCGGGTTTTCCTAATCAACTCACTCAAGGCACCTTCCAGTTTGGTCACATTTTGATGAAGCAGAGATGAACGAATACTTTCAAATTTCGGATGAAGTTTCATTAAAAAATGCATGAGACGAGAGCTGGTACGTTCCTGTTGAACCTCGGCAGACGCAGCAGCAGAGACCAACAACATAGTTTTTTTTAGATAAGGGTGATATAGGTTACTTTTTTGTCATTAGGTACTACTGAAGGGACTCGAACCTGGGACCTCCAGGTTCATGGCTAGTGGTATTATCACTAGACTAATCCCTTGTTCGTAAAGAGACCAACAACATAGTTACCATGTCATGTTCCCTCCACAAAGTAACAGCTGCCTAATAGTAGGATCGGATATCCATGTCCCCTTGATGCAACCAAGCAATATCCAGTTCTACATCAAACTTCTGAGATGCACTTGATTAGGAATGAAAAGTCGTTAAATGACTCCACATAGCGTGAGCTGTGGGGAAACTTCGCAAACTGAGGTAAATCGAGGGATCGACTGATCCCAAGATCCACCCCATAACGTGGGCATTATTAACCGCCCAATCCTCCTTCACATATGCTGTAGTGTTCTCACTAGGCTCTGCAGCAATCCCATCAAGAATAGCGGCAACCTGCACCCTTGAACAAACCGTCGGAATTGGAATTCCCACAAGGCAAAAATTTTGTCATCAAACCGAACAGTGAAATTGTCCAACTTAGAGTTCTCCATCAAGCCAAATCCACACACACAAGAAAGCAGACAAAAATCCAGCAGGACCGCAAAGAAAACAAGATCTGCCAAGGAACCGAGAAGGGAAATACCAGAATTGATCGGCAAGCAAGAAAACCAGAACACACGAAAGTTGTACCAAGTCTAGAAGCGCGCACAAGAGCCAGAAAACCGCACTGAGAAATCCAAAACCAAGAATACCAAGCACCACTGAAATATTCAGAACGAGAAACTAAGCCTGAGATCCACGAGAGGCTCTGATACCATGTCAAATACAATCACAAGAAGAACGAAATACCGGATTTACGTGGTACCCTCAACGTGTATCGTTGAGACTAATCCACGGAGAGGAGCAACCTCTCAGAGTCAATCGTATTAATTAAGAGTCCTTAGGTCAAACAACCCGCTATCACAACAAATATATACCCTAGCCGTTCGACCCTCTCTCACGTAGTAGTAGGCAATAATAATAATTAAAAGACTAATTACAATTAACTACCTACTACTATCTAATATTGCTAACAGTTATTTGATGAAGAATCCCACAATCGACTCGCTCGCCGAGTCCCTTAACACTCCCCACCTATCGCGGAAGATGGAGGTTGAGTCCCTTTATAATCATCCACATCGAGTTTGATCCAATCATAAGAGCGTGCATCGTTTCGTGCTCGAAGTGGAATTTAGAGCAATCAGAGATGGTCTCATTTTAGCTTGGAGCTAGGGGTGGACATCCGATTCGGTAAACCAAAACCAAACCGGACCGAAACCAAACTGAAACCGAACTATTGTTATTCTGTTCGGAATTCAGAAGGCAAAACCCTATATTTCGGAAACCAGGGTACGCAAGACCGAACCGAATTCCAAATAAATAGTTCAACCCACAATCCTACAACCCAATTCACTACTCAAGCCTCACACAAAGCCCAAATCTCTCATGGTCCAAATCAAACACAACCCAAAATTAAATCCCTTTCAGCCCACAACTCCTATCCATGTTTGCTGCTAAATGCTACTACTAACCTAACTCTAACAGAGGAGAAGAAAATGCAACTCACCAGCCCCGCCGAATCCTCCTCTCATCTCTCGCCCCCGCCGACTCTCGTCTTCCCCGCTGCCTCCTAATTGAGAGGTCGTCGGTGTCATTCCTCTTCTTTCTGTTCTCTTCTCCTCGCCCGCCATTCATGATTCAACCTAGAAAACCAACCAAAAGCAAAATCTCAAATTAGCAAAGCCTATAAAAAATTCAAATTTAAAACCACATAATCGAATTAACCAAAGAGGAGGGACATGGATCTTCTCTTGCTGTGCATGACTGAAGCGGCGGCGGCGGCTTCATTCCCCTTTCGTTTTCAATCTCCATCACCCCTCCGCCTTTCGTCCTCGATCGAGAAGAAGAAGAAGGGGTGGGACAAGTTCGGCGAGGAAGACCCTTTTTACGATCTGATAGCTTTGTGGTGCTCTTCTTCAGACCTCTGCCTCTTAAACTTATGCAGATGTAAAGGAGAGAGAAGGAGGAGGAGGAGAGGGAGAAGAAGGTGGGACGGGAAAAGGGTGGCTGCCGAATGGAGAGGAAGGGACTCGTCGGGGCAGACGTCGACGACTAATGGAGCGGGATCTCTGTATCTGATGTTGCGGCGGAGAGAAGAGAAAGAGGAGAAAATGAGAGAGGTGTGAGGAGGAAGAGAAAGAAAATGGGTTTCTTTGGGGTCTCATTTGTTAGCGAAAGAAGAAATAAAGAGAGCGAGAGAATATCAAAACTCGGCTTTTCTGTTCCGAATCGAGTAATATTTCAGTTCGAAAGGTTTGCCATTTTACTGAAATTGAAGTACCCGTATGCATATTTTTATTTGGTTCAAACCAAACCGACCGAATGCCCATGCCTACTTAGAGCTAGAGATTTTGAGGGTAACTCCACAATATGGCGTCGTGTAGATTCCGAAGAAATAGTTTCTTCTTATTCTTTTCAATTTCCATGCCCGGCAGCTCAATAATTAACTTCCATTGCGGCATCATCATCCACATAATTTCACCACCATTCTTCTTCCCCAATTTCCTTCTCTCCCAATTAACTCCCACAAAGGAAAAAAAAAACGAAAATGGCGCAGGATGATACTACCAGTCATTTCCAGCAGCTGCACATCTTCTTCTTCCCGTTCATGGCGCGCGGCCACATGATCCCATTCCTCCACATGGCCAAACTCTTCGCCACCAAGGGCATCAAATCCACCATCGTCACCACCGACCTCAACCACCCATTCTTCGCCCCAGCCGCCGCCGCAACCCCAAACCTTGAAACCACCACCATCGCCTTCCCGGCGGCCGGAGATTCCGGCCTCCCTCCCAACTGCGAGAACATGGATTCCATCACTTCCCGCCCTGACGCCGCCGAACTAGCCCCGAAATTCTTCCTCGCCACCGCCTCGCTCCGCGGGCCCCTCGAAAGCCTCCTCGAATCCTCCAAACCGGACTGCCTCGTCGCCGACATGTTCTTCCCCTGGTCCACCGCCGCCGCCGCCAGATTCGGAATACCCAGGCTGGTCTTCCACGGCACCGGCTTCTTCTCCCTCTCTGCCGCCGAGACGGTCCGGATCCACGAGCCGCACAAAAGGGTATCCTCCGATTCGGAGCCGTTCCTCATCCCGAATCTCCCCGGTCAAATTTCCATGACCAGGAAGCAGCTGCCGGAGTACGCGAGGCAGAGTGGGGATTCTGGGTTCGGGAATTTGCTGAAATCGGTCAGGGAGTCGGAATTGAAAAGCTACGGCGTGATCGTCAACAGCTTCTACGAGCTGGAGACGGATTATGCCGATTACTACAGATCTGCTCTCGGGAGAAAGGCTTGGCACATCGGTCCCCTGTCTCTCTGCAACAAGGACAATGGTAAGGAATCGGAAAGGGGGAAACGAGATTCAAATTGCCTGAAGTGGCTCGACGGGAAACGAACCGGCTCGGTGATCTACATTTGCTTCGGGAGCATGTCGATGTTCGCGGCAGATCAATTGAGGGAGATCGCGATCGGATTGGAAGCTTCAGGGGAGCAATTCGTATGGGCGGTGAGGAAGGACGAGAGCGAGGACGAGAGCGAATGGCTGCCTCAAGGATTCGAGGCGAGATTGAGAGGGAGAGGGTTGATTGTAAAGGGATGGGCGCCGCAGGTTGGTAGCGAACTAATCACTTGGTCATTCAATAACTCGAGTTGTTGAGAAATGGGTGCTAATTTTTTTTATTTCTTGGACAGGTTGCGATCTTGGAGCACCGGGCGGTGGGAGGGTTCGTGACGCACTGTGGGTGGAACTCGACCCTGGAAGGGGTGGCGACGGGGAAGGCGATGGTGACATGGCCGATGTTCGCGGAGCAGTTCTACAACGAGAAGCTGGTGACGGAGGTGTTAAGGATCGGGGTGGCGGTGGGGGCGACGGACTGGGTGCGGCTGCGTGGCGGCAGGATGAGAGGGGAGGATTTGGAGAGGGCGGTGAGGAAGGTTATGGACGGCGGCGACGGGGAGGCAGGGGAGATGAGGGAGAGGGCGAGGAAGGTCGGTGAGATGGCGAGGAGAGCTGTGGGAGAAGGAGGGTCTTCTTGGAAAGATTTGAATGGTTTGATTGATGAGCTGAGGCGGCTTCGTAGCCATTGTGGAAATGTATGATTAGGTTAATAGTTCAACGTTCTTTTATACTCTTTGCAGCGGAACAGTTTTTTATCGTTGTCGCTGGCCGCTGCTAATTACTTGTCTGCCGGATTGAGGATGACAATGTTATGACCGATCTCTTTAAACCATTTTCATTCTCGATTTCAAGTATTCAAACTCATATTGAGTTTATAGGGATAAAGAGTAGTTCCGGTATGTATATTCAAATATTATACTATGCTTATTGCTTAGAATTCAACATGTAGTTCTTTAATTATAAAACGCTAATGAAGTATAAAATAACGAAGATTCAATGATTCTCAACTCAAATATAAAGCATCTAGTTTTGAAATATATTTATTAATTTATAAGACAATGTACGATATTACACATCATTTATCTCCGACTCCAATGCATCTATTAAATGATAAATAACTAACATCATCTTGTTAACAAAAGGGAAAATAAGTGAAAAAGTGAGTGGCGAATTGAGTAAAAGAAATTAGTGTTTCATCTGCTGCAACTTGAATTTTGGAGCACATCTTTTGTTATTTCTCGTGCTTGAAGTTATTAATACGCCCACGAAAAAACGAGTCGTATCACCAAAAATAAGTGTTTGTGAAATCATACCGTACTGACGAACCAACGGAAAAAACCTCACACTAGAATCTAAATCGATAGACGGTCATTAACGTTATAAAACAAGTACAGTTAAACCACGTTTCATTATAAAAATACTAATAATTTTCGGCCCGAGCTTCGCAGCGGTTAGACTATTGCAATACACTTGTTTTATATTTAAGAAATAACTATTATATAATGGTGTTACATAATGTATTTATTATTTACGTAATGTTATATAATGGTATACATAATTTTTTTGTAATGTGTGGTCTAATAATAAAATCAAATTAGGAAAAATATCATAGTCGAGTAAACTATTATGTAAAAGTTAACTTACCTTATGAAACCTTTTTGTTATCCGAATTGATGAGATAGTGAATATCATAGTTAATAAAAAGAAATTTTAATCAATAATTAAAGAATTAAATTAAGAAGAGCATCACATTTGAATATTCGATTAAACTATCATGTGAAAAATAACTACCTTATAAAACTTTTGTGTAATGTAAATTAATGAGAAAAACCTGAAAATATCATTAAAATTTATATTATAAAAGACTTACATAATACTTTTTTAATTGATACATAAGAAACGACTATTCCTCCATAAGTTTTACGTAATGACTTAATCATTATGAAAGTCATACTCTATTGTGTTTTTCTAATTGATATATAAGAAATAACTATCTATCCATAAGTTTGATCTATTATAATTTACATAAATTTTATAGCATGGTGTTACGTAAATATTCTGAAATGTGTGGTCTAATAATTAAAATCAAATTATAAAATCATTATATTTGACTAAACTATTATGTAGAAGTTAACTTACCTTACTGATCCTTTGCATAATGCAATTGATGAGATAATAATAAAGTAATTGAGTTATGAAAAGTATCACATTTGATTAAAGTGTTATATGAACAATAACTAACCTCTCCATATGTTTTACGTAATGTCTTAATCATTATAAAAGTTACACCCCATTATGTTTTTGTTTAAGTTGATACATTAAAAATAACTATCTACACAATAAATAAAAGCCAAATGAGAAAACGTAAAATCACATTTCAAATTTTCTGCATCCAGAGTGAAAGCAGGAGTGGTAGATTCGTCTTCACAATCATTTATTATTTTCTTATTTACAGAAAAAAAAATACATCAGTAATGAAATTTGAAACGTGGGCTTTTCGAACAAAGATAAGAAACATAAATACTTCCTCTGTAAGTGTGATATGATATAATATATGTGACTTTTATAGCACGGTATTACGTAAAAATTCTGTAACGGAGAAATGGCATAGAAACCCCCTTTATGTGTAATTGATCACAGGTTTTTGTTAGGTTACATAATTGATCGGCCGACGGAGATCCGAACTAGAAGATGAAGAAATTGCTTGTAGGCAGAAAGATTGGGCAGTAACCTAATATCAAGGGTGGAGTCGCAGTGGTGGTCGAAGGCGCTTGATCAGAGAAGGTATTGACCGGCCGACGAAGATCTGAATTGGAGGATGAATTGGGAGAACTTGGCAGAGGAAATAGATAAATAAAAGACTACAATAACATGGACTTGTGCTTTTAATTAATCGATGATTGATTGATTGATTGATTGATGATTTTAGAATCTTTCCAAAAATATGACAATACTCAGCTAAACGATCAGTTTCCGTATTGTCAAATTTGGAGGCTAATGCTTTTCAACAACAAGCACACAGAGAATCTCAAGAAAAAACCAGAGGCACTGCCCACAGATTAATTTCACTTCACTCAAGTTCTTCACTTCCCTTTCTCCAGCTCTCCAAATTCAATGGATCCACCTCCGCTCCACGTCGTCTTCCTCCCTTTCATGGCTCAAGGCCACATGATCCCAATCACAGACATGGCCAGGCTCTTCGCCCGCCGCGGCGTCAGGTCAACGATCATCACCACTCCCCTCAACGCCCCTCTCTTCTCCGGCAAGATCCGCCGCGACGCCCAATTGGGCCTTCCAATCGAAACCCACATCATCGAATTCCCCTGCGTCGAGGCAGGGCTGCCGGAAGGTTGCGAGAATGTCAGCGCCATCAAGTCCCCGGACCTCATGATCCCGTTCTTCAAGGCCATGGCCGTCTTCCAGCGCCCCGTCGAGGATCTGCTCCGAAATTGGCGGCCGGATTGCATCGTCGCCGACGTCGTCTTCACCTGGGCTACAGAGACCGCCGGGAGACTCTGCATCCCGAGGCTCTTCTTCAACGGAACAGGGGCGTTCGTCGTGTCCGTGCTTCACGCCCTCAAGCTCCACGAGGCTTGCAACGGATTGGAATCAGATTCCGAACCCTTCCTTGTCCCCGGCCTGCCGCATGAGATTCGATTGATCAAGACGCAGCTCCCGCCTTTCGTGAAAGGGGATCAATCGGATAGCGGGATCCGAGAGGCAATGGAGGAATCGGAGGTCAACTGCTTTGGTACCGTGTTGAATAGCTTCCACGAGCTCGAGCCCGGGTACGCCGAGTATTACAGGAAGGTAATGGGGAGGAAGGCATGGCTGATTGGTCCATTGTCGCTCGGCAACAAGGACGGTACAGAGGAAAAAGCAGAGAGGGGAGATGTGGTTACCTCCATCGATGAACAGGAATGTTTGAGATGGCTGGATGCCAGGGAACCCAATTCGGTGTTGTATATCTGCTTTGGGAGCACATCGTACATTTCCGATGCTCAGCCGTGTGAGATCGCTGGTGCTCTGGAGTCGTTCGAGGAGCTGAGCTTCATCTGGGTTGTGAAGAAGGGGGAATTGCTACCGGAAGGGTTCGAGGAGAGGACTAAAGGGATTGTGATCAGGGGATGGGCGCCTCAGGTGCTGATTCTCGACCACGGGGCGATCGGAGGGTTCGTGACGCACTGCGGGTGGAACTCGACGCTCGAAGCTGTGGCTGCAGGGGTGCCGATGGTGACATGGCCGCTCCAGGCGGAGCAGTTTCTGAACGAGAAGTTGGTGACCAATGTTCTGAAGATCGGTGTTGGAGTTGGAGCTCAAGAATGGTCGAGAGGTGAGAGGAAGATCGTCGTGGGGAGGGAAGACATAGCGAGGGCGATGACTCGGGTGATGGTCGGCGAGGAGGCGGAAGAACTGAGGGGCAGAGCTAGGAAGCTTCAGGAAATGGCTGTCAGGGCGAATGAAGAAGGAGGATCTTCTAATTCTGATCTGAAATCGTTATTGGAGGAACTAAAGTCTCTTAGGGACAAGAAATTGTGATGGCTGGTAGGGATGACAATCGAGCAGGTTCCATAATTAGCCGCTGCGACGACGTTTTCCCTTTCCATGTATTAGCCGTTAAGCAAACACTGTTTTAATTGCTAATGGCCAGTAGAAACAAGACACGTGGAGTTGAGGTTTGATTTAATTTCGTTGCTATAAAAGGAACAGAGAACTCAGCAGAAAGCTTGACCTTCACTTTCACAAATCACTATACAAAAATTCTCAAGAGCTGGAGACGAGATTATGCCGATTACTACAGATCTGCTCTCGGGAGACGCGCTTGGCACGTTGGTCCTCTGTCTCTCTACAACAGCAATGGAAAGGAATCGGAAAGGGGGAAACGAGATTCTGACTGCCTGAATTGGCTCGACGGTAAAGGACCCGGCTCGATGATCTACGTTTGCTTCAGGAGCATGTCGATGTTCGGGAAGGAGCAATTGAGGGAGATCGCTATCGGATTGGAAGCTTCAGCGGAGCAATTTGTATGGGTAGTGAGGAGGGACGAGGGCGACAACGACAACGACGAGAGCGAATGGCTGCCTCAAGGATTCGAGGCGAGATT